CCCAGCTGCGTGAGTGACAGCTGGCTCTGCCTATGTAGAGGCAGAGCCGGCTGTCCCCGCCCCCTCCCCCGTCCGTTCCTCCAGTTAGCGCTGGAGGATCGGACAGGGGAGGGGGGGGATCGGACAGGGGAGGGGGAAATCCCTGCAGGGAGCCGTGAGTGACAGTCCACGGCTCTCTGCAGGGATAGATCGAGAAGTGATCGAGCGATGCTATGTGTTCGCTCACTTCCCGATCTATTGAGCCGACCTGTGACAATGAAACTGAGCCGACCTGTGACAGTTTCATTGCCACATGTCAGCTAGAACTATGAGGCTGAGTGATTTTCACTCGCCTCATAGTTCTCCTTTAAGGGGACCCACACTCGCTGTTGCTTTGGAACTTTGGAACTGGAACTGAAGTCTGCTAATGTGTTCTGATGGGTAGGAATATATGAATCAGATCAAGGAGATTCCTTTCTGCCTACGTGACAGTTGGCTTCAGTTCCCTGAGAATGTACAGATGTGGGTATCCCATTGGTTATGAAAGTACACCGCTGCTAACCTGTTGTCCAACTGAACTAGGTCTTGTCTCCCCCTTGAAGCTTTACCTAGAAATTCCTTAGGGTCATTAGAGCTGCCCTGGGCCACTTTGCAAACACCCTCTTCCCCTCAGTGGGCCCCCTTATCTCAGCTTGCTGGCATTGAATTTAAGTATGACTCAGAAAAATGGACGAAGGAAGCACCTGTATGGAAGGTTCTCTTCCCTGGTCCACCAGACTTCCTTCCATTGATTTTGATGCCAATAGGCCCATTGTACAGGAAAACACAACAAGAAGGTTCCTAGGACATTTTGGCTATGGGCTGCTGACACATAACTTCTGGCCAACACACTCTGGACCATCTGTTGTTTGGCTCTTGTCTCAATTTATGATTCACCCGAAACTGCGTAGTGTGCTGATCACAATGGTAGGTGTGTGTGTGATGCATATCCTTGGTTTGGTGTAGAAGCAGGATGTCATCAAGGTAGGGATGTACCTAGATTCCCTGTTTTCGAAGGGGAGGTAGAGACACTATTAGGACTTCTGAGAATGTCTGTGGTGACATGCTTTAGGCCAAATGGCAGACACTGAAATTGTAGGTGCAGCTCTGCTACTGCAAAACATAGGAACTTCTGAAATGAAGGTAGGATCGGGAATGTACAAGTAGGCATCTTACACTTTTTTTGAGTTTATATATCGATTAAAATGTTTCAGATGTATGAAAGTCCTCCATATCACCATATTTTTATGAACAAGAACAATGGGGGTATAGAATCTGGTGTATTTTTCCAATTCTGGCAATAGAATGACAGCTTCCTGCTTGACCAGAGACTAGATATAACAAAAAAAATTCTGCCTTTTCTGGAGATCTTGGTATATTTGTCTTCTGAAAAGATCTGTGTTGTGTTGTAGTATGTATTTAGTTTGGTTAACCCTCTGGCCAATTCAAAGAACATGCCTTGAGGGCCTGAGGCTGTTGATGTATTCAATGGTTTGATTATATTAAACATTTCTGCACTGTGGGGATGGGAAAAATGATTTCATTCTTTAGTGCCAATGTTGTGGATTCACCAGGTATATACAAGTTGGAATGACTGCAATTGCCCAAGTAAGGTTTCAGTAAATGCTTTAGAGGAGTTAGTGACATGGCTTCTGTCTAGAGTGGAATGTGCAAGAAGGTTAAGGTCACCTCCCACTTTCTTTCATTTTTTTAAATTTTGTCATATGTCCAATGTGGCTGGCTAGATATATGGGAAGATATGGATTCTGAAGCCACCAAAAATGATGCTCAGACTTTTCCTATCAACCCCTGGCATCACCCCTTTGGTAAGAATGTCTTTTATGCAGAGCACTATGTTTCATGGAGGTTTGACTGCAGGAGGTTTAGGATTCAAGGTGTGGTTTATCCTGTCAAAGGTAAAAGCATGTTCTTCCATATCTGGCAGTAGGGATTAAAAAGGTTTCAGGGTGGTTGATGAGAGGTCAGTAATAGACTCAGGTATTCCACGTATCCTGAGATTATTCACCTGTTCCAATTTTCCAGGTCTTCAACCTCAATTTAATCTTGTAGAATGTTAGCTGAAAGCGTATCATACTCTCATTGTATGCCAAGTTGAGTGTGCCATGTTCTTGTGCAAAAGTATTGTTGGTTTTGTCTAACAGACTCTGAAACTTTGCAGCTAGCGTATCATACTCTCTGTGGCAGTCATTGTATGCCAAGTTGAGTTTGCCATGTTCTTGTGCAAAGGTATTGTTGGTTTTGTCTAACAGACTCTGAAACTTTGCAGCTAGCGTGTTATATGTAACTGCCAAACTATTTTTTAAGGCCTGCTTTATAAGTTGTGGCAGGTATTCACAGATGTCTGACTGGTTGCATGAGACTAGAGAGTGGGCACGCAAGTCTAAAGAGTTGCAAAGGTCAAATACACCATCTTGAGTCCTTTAGAGCGCTCCTGTGCTACGAGTAAATAGTTTGTGAGGGATATTTGTGGGGGTAGATGGTTGCTGAGAGGGATCATTGGCCTCAGGATTAAGGCTGTAGTCTCACTAATATGCAGAGCTATTGGAAAAAAGCTTCCATCTTTCATCACACCGAGCATGCACCCTCAAATTGCAACTTTTATCAGATGCCCTACATTCACATGTGTTAACAGAGAACATGCTGAATAGAGGAGAGCAGAAATATTACTTCATCAGTCTGTTGCTGCTCTTTCACTGGCCAACAAAAGGCTGGGAGTAGGACTGTGACCTATATGTGTTTAACTGTAGCAGAGTAAAATCAAGTCACCAGGCTAGCTGTGATATGTGATGGGACTGTGTAAATCTCAGGGCCGGATGGACAGAAATACAACTTATTTGGCAGGTAATATAATTCCCATACATTTCAACTCTGCAGCTTTATGGAATCCAACAGGTTAAAATGAAATATGTTAAGCCCAGTCCTCACTATAACCATGTTGATCCATATAAACTTTACTCCCAGATATGAAATGTTTCTTACCTCTTTATGAGCATAATAATGTGTTTTGGTACATATATATTGTACGCTATGCCATTAGTGGAATTGAAGCATGCTAAAACTTATCAGAGGTCTTTGTTTGTTTAAGTCTTTTGCAGTATCCATCCTTTGGCAGTAATAGAAGATGCACTCCTGAGGAACCTATTTACAGGTTATCAGAAATGGGTGAGACCTGTTATAAACCCCAATAAAACAATAACGGTGAATTTTGGCTTGAAGATATCACAGCTCGTTGATGTGGTAAGAAAGCATTTAATTTTTTTACTATATAACCTTTTAGCTGTACATTGTTAATTGCTGCATTGCTATATGTAACCAGTATAAAGGAAACCTGTACTGAGAGAGATAAATAGGCTGTCATTGATGACCGTTCCATCTGCAAAAGTTTCCACTGGGAGGTTTATGCCTCAGTGATGTAGACTGGGAAAAGTGATAAATATTTAGGAAGTGGGGCCATGGGGAACAAAAGAATCCCCCCCCCCCCGAAGGAAGGACAGTGTCAGCATGAATTCAGAGGTGATTTGAGGATCTACAGCTGAGTGATACACAAATAAGATGCATTATTGTTAACAATAAAAGGTACTTAAATGCATTTTTAAGATTTAACTCCTGAGTTTAGTTTTACTTTATTGTACTTTTTAATGGCTGTTGTTTATCTGTAAAAACCTCCTGTGTAGAAATGTAAAAGCCCTGATACTGTTGCTGGGCTTCCATCATAATGGTCAGCTGCCCCAGCAGGCTCAGAGCTGCCATTCAAAGAACGTTTGATAGTATTCCCCTTCACTCTTCCCACAGTAGCTACATATCAGGTATACAGGCACCTTTCTTTTTTCGAAACCTTTCCTTGAACAGATGTCTAAGTGCAGCTGGAAGTCTCAAAGGCACTGACAGATTACCAATACAACCTCTGCATATTTGAGTTTGTTGACTTATACAGAACACTAGTGATAAAGGAGAGCATGTTGCCAACTTTCATTTCAGCATTTAGTCAACTCGTACTTTCTAGTCAGTTCCAACTGAACACGTGTAATTGCTGCAGGAAAGTATAACAGACGTGCAAACATTCATTGTAAAGCACTGCAGAATAACTGCAAGCACTATATAAGAAAAATAAATAAACATATATATTTCTTTAAGCAGCCAGATTCTGGCTCTCAATTGTATTGCAAGGAAAGTAAGGGGATGTTTTGCTAGATATAAGCAATACAGACACTTCATCAGGACCTGTGTGTTTTTTAGCAACTAGATAAAGAATATATTAAGGTAAACATTTTAAATTCAATACGTCCAATTTATTACATTTTATAAGAAAAAGAATTACCATGCAACAGAACACATTCCTATGCTTCCGAACAGTATATTACTTGCAGTACTAATACCATACAGCACAGTAATCCATGTGTGTGGTTCATTTGACACTCTGAACGATCCAAAATAGTCACGTCTAAAAATCCTGTTACCTGTGTCAGCAGCTCTGCAATAAGCCACCTCTTTCTCAGGCTCATCACGTATCTAGCCACTAGACCAGGGCTTTTTAACCCTTTTATTGTGGACAATACATTGCGTCCTATACTGACAGCGTGTGCTAGTACTTCCACAACAAAGGTCCGACCTCTTCATTGAAACATTATTATAGCAATACAAAATAAAAGCAAAATATTTTATCATAGAATCATACTGAACTTTTATAAATACAGACAATGTGGGATTAGTAGGATTACTCTTTGGGTAGACGCTCGTAGAAAGAAACACAGTCGCTACAAAATTAAAATCTCAGGAATGGTATTCTAGTTTCAAATAGACTTGTATCATTGTCTATGAGTTGTGACAATGCTTTGACAGGGATACAGTGTCAGGGATAATCTCATACATTAATTTTTAATAATAAATGGAATGAATAAAAATATGTACTTGTTAGGATTTTTTATTTAACCTCTTGCCGTCCGCCCGTAGTAAAAAAAACGGACGGACGGCACTGCAGCATCTGCGGTCAATTTTTTTCTGCTCGCGCGCGCCCCCTAGCGGGCACGCACGGGCAGAAAAGACTCAAAAACCTTTGTAATATATAGTTTTGTTTTGTATAGAGTGAGAAGGATTAGGACTCCTGTCAGGTTTTTACTGATGTCCGAGCCATGTTGCCCTCACTTCCTGTCCTGCAGACAACAGCTTTACAAGACAGAAGTGAGGGAGAAACTGCAACAGGGATAGAAATACAAATTTAACAGGGGTCCCATACTTTCCATACTCTAAAGAAAAGCATTTCTATTTCTGTCTGTGTTGTTGTTAAACAGTTTCCCTCACTTCCTGTATAGTAAGAAAAATATTGACAGCAGGACAGGAAGTGAGGATGCATCTATTTATCAGAACCCCAGGTAAATACCTGACAAGGGTTTAACCCTTCCCCACTCTGTCCAAAAATAAAAAAAAGTTTTGGCTAGACATAACCCTGTAAGACTTACAGGGTTATTCACAAAAGGGTGAAGAGTTTGGAGAAGGCAGGAGAAGTGAACAATCTAGGACAAAATAGCTGATTTGGAAAAATTCTCTAATTCAGCTCACTTTCCAGTTCAGCTGTGTTGTCCTAGATTGTTCACTTCTCCTGTCTTCTCAAGTCTCTTCACCCTTTTATCTTAGCAAGTTTTTGTTGCACATTTCATGCAATTTAATTAGTTTTTATGCATTATGCTTTTTTGTTTTGGCCAGTGAAGGTAAAATAAAGTATAGTTTGCTGGAGCTAAGTACTTGATATGCTCTAAATCACACAAAAATGTACCAATAAGCCCCATAGGGGTGAAGCATGTTAGAGTGGGCGGCCTCCAGATGAGTAGTCTCATCTGGGGCCTATTCCACACAATACAATAATATTTGCTGCAGCCTCCTGTTTGATGTATATAGCCATTTCAGGCTGGTAAAGTTTGAGGGGCTGCTGAATGTAGTATTACAAAAATGAGTTTACAGGTGAAACTCGAATAATTAGAATATCGTGCAAAAGTTAATTTTTTGCACGATTCAATAACCGTGGGATTACTGTGCTTGATTGGCCAGCAAACTCGCCTGACCTGAACCCCATAGAGAATCTATGGGGCATTGCCAAGAGAAAGATGAGAGACATGAGACCGAACAATGCAGAAGAGCTGAAGGCCGCTATTGAAGCATCCTGGTCTTCCATAACACCTCAGCAGTGCCACAGGCTGATAGCTTCCATGCCACGCCGCATTGAGGCAGTAATTGCTGCAAAAGGGGCCCAAACCAAGTACTGAGTACATATGCATGCTTATACTTTTCAGAGGTCCGATATTGTTCTATGTACAATCCTTGTTTTATGGATTGCATGTAATATTCTCATTTTCTGAGATTGTGGATTTGGGGTTTTCATGAGCTGTAGCCATAATCATTACAATTATGACAAATCATGGCTTGAACTATCTTGCTTTGCATGTAATGAGTCTATCTCCTATATTAGTTTCACCTTTTAAGTTGCATTAGTGAAATAAATGAACTTTTGCACGATATTCTAATTATTCGAGTTTCACCTGTATATAACAGGAAATCTGCTGTGGTGTGGACAACACCATTTGATTCCCCAAAATAAAAGATGTATGTCATAGATCTTTAGGTCTGATAACCTGCCAAAGATATACATAGTGCTTGTGTTTACCTTTGCATTTAGTATAACCAGCAGTAGAAAGAATGCTGGCATTAGGGTATTTGTAGTTATGCATGAGACCGGTAACTGCAAAAAGCTGGCAAGAAAATGAATGAGGCAGAGGATATTAAATAGGTCAAAAAACAGCTGAGTGTTCAAAACAACAGACCTATTTTACTGAAGCTTGGAAGGCGGAGGAG